GGCGCTCATATGACTTTATGCAGTTGCGAGCGCCGTAAAACCCTCTACTATATAAAAAAAAATTTTTTAAGATCTACAATATCATAGACTGACAGTTGTCACGTTCTGTTAGACACTTGAACAAACTTTTCTAAACTTCCGATTTCCATGACTGTTGAAATGTTTCCCAGGTCACGGCAAAAAAGGCTACTTGTCTGTGAATGTGGGCGGCCTGATTCCATCGCCATGGCAACGTGTCTTATACCATTTACTGTGGTGGGAATAATGCCAATAAAAATGAATCACCAACCAGGGCAGTGCCACTGACTGAAGTGTCTTTAGGCCATTCCCAAAGGGGGGATATTAACATGTTCTTATGCACAGTAGAATTGTAAATGGGCTGATTCATCAATGTCATGCTCATAACTGTGCCTGAACTGCAACAGGGAACTGCTGCTTTTTCTTTCGTAATCCTTACTATCGTAATTTTCCTCAACTTCTTTTGTTTGTTTGTCACACTCTTGTGACCTGCTATTTCCGAAGTGCCTTGATAGTCGAAGCAGACCTTGTGCTGTTGAAGCTAGAGAGGTGAGCAGAGTAAGTCTGATTCCCTGTAAAGACTTCTCTGTTGACCTTATGCTGTTGCATAAGATGGGGGGGGGGGGATAGATGTTTGATGGGAATGAAAGAGAAAATCCCTCCAGAACTTTTGCCAACCACCCGCCTTATAATTTGTGTGTGCCTAAAGAAAGGTACCAAGAGTGGGATTTTGAGTGAAGGGAAGGCTTGTACTTGTACCTTGTTGGTAATGCAATGCTGAACTCAGTGGTTTTTGAATTTTTGAGATATCTCAAGTAGTTTTTGAGATGTTGCATAGTTTGCGAGGTAGGGTATAAAGATATAATTTTGAGAAAACGAGCTTTTATTTTAAGTTTATCAAACATGAGAACACTTACAAACTTTTTTAAAAAGATTTTTTTAATGTATTTATTCATGTAAATTCATTTCTAATTTAGCGTTCTGTTGACATCGATATCATGAATGGAATTCAATGGTAATACATGTATACAACCAACGCACAAACACACCCACTCACACACACACACACACACACACACACACAAATATATACCCACATACAAATACACGCTCATATACATACATAACGCACACCCACACCCACACATGCACCACACACACATTCATTCATACGCACACGCACACACTCGCACACACATACACAAACTGTAGGTGGTTGGCAGGTGCTCTGGTGTGGTTTGCGTCTTCTTTCCTATCCAACATCTATCGTCTTTATTTCTGCTCCTTCTTTTTTGTGTGTTACTCTCTTGTAACACCTCTAATCTCCGGCACTTTTATGACCTTATTGTGGTGCAAGTGCCGTAAAACTCTTACTAAAACCAAAAAAAATAAAACACACTCACACACAAAATACATACACACACATACAAGTACATACACACGCACACAAATATATACACTAAAAGTACACGCGTTCACACACTCACTCACTCGTCGCACACACAAAAATACACACACACACACACAAACACACACACACACACTCACAAATGAGAGCGCGCACGCGCACTTGTGTGTGCATGCAGAGAGAGAGAGAGAGAGACAACAAGCGAGAAAGACAAGAGTGAGTGAAAGAGAACGAGGGGGATAAACAGAAAAAGACAGAAATAACATGTGTACGTCTCTCTCTCTCTCTCTCTCTCTCTCTCTCTCTCTCTCTCTCTCTCTCTCTCTCTCTCTCTCTCTCTCTCTCTCTCAGAGAGAAGAGAGAAAGACTAGGAGAAGGGGAGAGAGAAACAGAAAGAAAGAGAGGGGGGAGGGAGGGAGGGAGAGAAACAGAGAGAGAGAGAAAGAAAGAGATAGAGAGGGAGGAGGTAGGGAGAGAAACAGAGAGAGAAAGAAAGAGATAGACTGACTGAGAGAGAGAAAGACACCGTGCTCTTCCAGCCCAGCCCTGTGACAGTGAGTTTTGTGTGGAAATTCCCCATGACTGTGCCCCACTTAAACCTCTGACGTCACACTACGCTACTCACACCGCAGCGACAAAGGCGAGTTGTGTCTTACTCTCCCTCCCAAAACGCTGCACGTACGTGTTTCCCTGTAGTGGCAGTGGTGGGCGGTTCCCGGTTATTGCAAACTTTAACTAGGAACCGTAGGAATCGAGTCCGGATCCAGTTCCTTTCTACTAATGTGATTTCTTCCGGGTGTCCACGATTTCTTTCAGTGGTTCCGATCCCTCGACAAACAGGTGGGTGGTTGGCGGGTGCTCTGGTGTGGTTTGATTCTTCTTTCCTATTAAACATCTATCGTCCTTATCTCCCCTCCTTCTTTTTATGTTTGTCTCTCTCTTGTAACACCTCTAATCTTCTGGTGCTCATATGGCCTTATGCAGTTGCGAGCGCCGTAAAACCTCTACTAAAACAATACATTACATGATGACTTCCGGCAAAGTAACAATTACTTCCGATGAATCCAACTCCTGTGACCTAGATTCGCCAGTTCCGGTTACCCAGTTGGCTTCAAGCAGCTTCAGAATCCAGGGTCACCTCCACACTTCCAAATAATAATAATGATGATAATAATAATAATAATAACTAGCATTTGTATAGCGCATGTCCCCGCTCAACAGCAGGCTCAATGCGCGTTACACTATATTATTACCCCAGCAGACCATAGAACACTCCAAAACATTCTCAGCTTCCCGGGAAGCATACAGTGCAAGCAGCTGATTATGCGCT